CGTTTAGACTTATCACATGTGACCGCGTTACCGAGACATATCTCGCCTTCAATCATTAGTTCAGGCAAAACGAGTTCTCGAGAGTTAAAATAGTTGTATCACTAAAAAATCACTTTGTGACCATATAATGTCTTTTATTTTCACTGTGTTTTATCCAGAGAGATTATCTTTACAACGATAGGTGAATTTAGATTTGTGTGTTGATTCCCTGTCGTGTTTGGCATAATATTAAATAAATATAGACTTTTGACCGAGTTTTACAGCATGCTCTGATGAGTTTACATAATCGCTTTATACCACAACATTTTTTTCAGATTTAAGAGGAACGCCTCATAATTTACTTGCTCACTACTTTTTGTGATCCGGCGATGAAGCATACGTATTTCTCTATGAAAATCGTTAGGTAATGATGTTACTTCAATCTAGGTATAAATTCCTCTCTACCGTAGGGGAGCGAGAAAGTAACAAGTAAATTTTTTCAAAATCTTTTTCATCATATTTGAGGAAACGATTATGGTTAAAATACCTAACCAGAGAAGAACGCCAAAAAGCGTATGATTTTAATGTTGACGAATGAAATTTTTGTTACACTTGGAAGTCCTGAACGAATTTCAGCATATCTCTATCAATCTTAAGGGAAACTCGACTTTTTCCTAAATTGATATGGGGCCGGAAAGCAAAAAAATTGAGTGTTGCAAAAGCCCCGCACCGGCACCAGGTACCCTCTCTGCATGTAACTTTTAAACAAATTAAGATAGAGAATATTTGAAGTTTTTTGAGTGCTCTTATAGGATCGAGGGATAGTACTTTTAGCACTTACTTGGCCCCTTTTGGCAATTCCAGAGAGATCACCTTGAAAAGGGTCAACATCCCTTTGAGGGTTAAAGAGATGGTGCGAGACTTTCGGATCACTCTTTAAAATGGCCTACCCCCAAAGTTTAGGAGGCAATACTTTCGTGTCCCTGATGCGTTATTTACGACTGAAATTTTTTTTCTTTCGAAGAGAAAGAAATTCACGATTCTCGATTCCGGATTCACTTTCGTTTTTTCCGCGGTAATAGAAGACCACAGAGAAAAGGCGAAAGTGAATCCGGCAGGCTCCTCTCAATACAGGAGACGACCAGAGTCCTCAGTTGAGCGAACCGACTATATCAGTATACAAAACTGAAACTTCGGTTTGGTGAACTGAGCCTTTGGTTCACCGAACTGAAATTTAGTTCTGTCAACTGAAGCTGTCGGCGCTTTTGACCAATAAGACACTGAAAAAAAACTCCAGCCGTGGAAGCCGTACTTACAGGCCATATAGACACACCGTCCTTCGTCCGTGTTCCGGGCTCAGAGCTAGGCCGAAAGTTTCGGGCGTATTAGCAGCCGGAGCATTCGAAGCTAAGGCTCCAGCACCCGGAACTTTCGACCTCCGAGCCCGGAACGGACGATAATTCCTGTCCATATAGCCCGTAACTTTTTCTTCAGTGGATTAAACCCTCTGTAAAGGGAAGAAACGCTTGTTAAACTATTCGGTTCGTGTATCCGAGGTTTTTCGCTCCATATGTGAAAATTTGACGTTTGGTCTTCCACCCTTGTCCACATGTCCTGCGCTGGAGAAAAAAAAACACATGGATCTAGATTCCAGACTCTTGAAAACATTGATAAGAAAAAATACTCTTGATTCAATCGGATTTTTGCTTGAATCAAAACGAAATCCGCTTGAATTAGGATGCTTGGTTCTTATTTTAAGCTAGATTCTGATTGAATCAAGAGTACCTTTTCTTGTCGATGTTTTTAAGAGTCTGGACTCTAGATCCAATGTGTTTGTGTGTGTGTCGCGCTCAACTGGAATTTTCTGCGAATCTCGGACCATCGACGGAAAAACAAGCCTCTTGAGTTATGTGCACACTGGAAAAAAACACATTGGATCTAGAGTCCAGCCTCTTGAAAACATCGACAAGAAAAAGTACTCTTGATTCAATCAGAATCTACCTTAAACAAGAACCAAGCCTCTTAATTTAAGCGAATTTCGTTTTGATTCAAGCAAAAATCCGATTGAATCAAGAGTATTTTTTCTTGTCAATGTTTTCAAGAGGATGGACTCTAGATCCAACGTGTTTTTTTCCAGTGTGCACATAACTCAAGGGGCTTGATTTTCCGTCGACGGTCCGAGATTCGCAGAAAATTCCAGTTGGGCGCGACTCGGGCCCGGGTAACTTGACAACGGGGAAGTTTACATTGGGGGAGAATTGGGAGCCGGCGCTCGGGCGCGCGAGTGGCGCGAGACGCGCTCGGCGTTATTTTCAGTGCTCTCGGGCGGCCGGCAGCGCTAAGTCGACGTTTGCGCTCGCAGCTAAATTGCTTGTGAAAACAGACGCCGTCGAGCCCGGCCCCAGGGATAAAACCACGTAACTCCCCGAGAAGACCCGGGGCAGTTACGCGGGTTCTGCCGAGGCGAGGAGTACGGCTTCCCGGCCTCGACGGCGACGTCTCTCGTTCATTATTCAAACGACGCCAGTTTCCCGATTTTCCGGCTTCAGCGCCGAGCGGGTGTCCAGGTTCGGGAAGTTTCCCGAAGCCCAACTTACCTGGAGACGCCTCTGAGAATTTGACTAGAGTAACTATACAGTAACTAGAGTGTAGGGGGAGGAAGGACATGTCGTCACCTTCCGGCCAAAGTATCACGAGCGCCATGCGACGTTAAATAATTGCCGCCGCCATTTTATTTTTTTACAGAGAGATTCTTCAACGAAGCTGTCCAAAAATTTCAAATGTGTATACAGAATATGTATCATTTAGACAAAAATCGACAGAAGAATCCCAAAATAATTCCAAAAGTTGCAGATCTAGTTCATTTTCTTTTTTCATCGTATCACGTATCATACGATGGGAAAAAGAAACAATTTTGACGTGCTTCACGAGAAGTGTTGGTAGATTTGAACCTCAGGTTTGTACAGACCACAGATTGCGTGAGAATAACTATATATTGTAGCTACGACAGGCCAATTTTCCAAAATTTTCGGGAGAAGACCCCCGCCCGCAATTCCTCGTTAAACTTGGAAGACTCAGACGCCTTTTGTAAAAGAGAAGGCCGTACCACCTCCAGATAATTGCTTTAGCTATGCTACATACGCCTTTATGTTGAGCGCCTAGAGATGCAAAATGAAATTTTACGGAGTGACATTTTATCGTGCTGAAAAGTGAAATTTCATTTTCCATGAAATTTCAACTTTTTTTAAGGGACTGCGTATGCATCATGCAGCCTGAAACAATTGAATTCGATCAGAAACTACGATACTCATATTTATTTTTACAAATTTCAAAATTGGACTGCATTTTGCAACATGGAACTATAATATCCATCTCAGTTAGGAAACAACGTATGTACCATCGATTTACGTGTGCTTATCAATGTTATTACCGATGAGCCAGAAATTGTAGTTCCGAATCGCAGAATGTAGTTAAATTAAGCTTTTATTGTTCTCATGCGTTTTGTGGCATATCCTGTCTATTGCAGAAGTTTAAAAAAAAAAAATCATGAAATTTTGCATCCCTAGCTTGGCCCATCGAGAGAGGTTCAGGAAGTATACAGCGCTCTCTTTATGGGACACCAACTTCAGAAGCGCCAAAATTCTCGCGGCCTCCTCCTGCTCACACTTCTGAAGTTTTCTTGTGAGAATCATTTAAGTGTGAAATAAACAGAGATTTTATGATGCCTAAGACTCCCACGTCTCTTTTCAATTATTAATACGATTTCATGATTCCCTTATATTTTCCTGAGTATTTTCGACTGGTCGGATAAAGAAGAAAGAAAGAGAGTCACTTTCGGAATTGTGTATAACTTGCGAATAGCCCCTCCCGGGTTTCCCTTAAAATTAAATTACATAGAAAAAAGGGACAATGCTCCAGGCCTAAACGTTGGATGAAATGGGCATTCCCAATTAAATATGGCCGAGCGAGCCTCAAATTATTGAGACTTAGCCACATCAAGGTGCCTTCCAGCCCCTATAAGTTGTGGCACAGCTCCAATTAATGAGAATTGGCAATTAAAATAAATTGTGGTTCGACCCTGGGGTCCAGCCACTACTGACCAACTTGTTTTTTCCTGTGAAGTATTGGAAAAATTGACGATAGGAGCCGCAACCAAAAGAATATGTTTCCGAATTATGATTTTGTGAAAAAGGAGGAGAGGGGGGAGGGGGTTCTAGTAAATAATGTTAAAAAAGAGAGAAAAAACTAGGTGCAACCCCCCTCCCCCCCGGTCACCTTGCCGGGCAGCCGGCTAATTGTAAGCCCCGCTCCTCCTCCCTCCCACGACCGGCTGATCGCCTGAACAATCAACCAACAAGTTAATTGAGTATGTCAGTTTTCTCGAATTTCATTAAATTATAATAATTTTGCAACGCTGTATTGTTTAGAGTTCTTTCCTAATAACTTAATCGAGGATCTGGTTGAAAGTTAAAATTTCCTCGGTATGAGCTTTTATATGAGCCATATTGACCTGTTTCTGTTCTAGTGTCTCCTAATTTTCATGTGATAACAGAAAATATTTCAGAAAACTGTGGATTTGTCTTATGAAGTTAAACTGACTCTGCGATTAGTGCGATCCTCCTATTTTATTTTTAATTTCCTGTTTTTTTTACTCGGTTTATGAACATTTGTAAATGTACAAAATACTGTTTTCACTCACTGCAAGAAAGCTTACATCTTTTCTCCGACAACGATTTGGTAAATCATACAAGATTAAGTTCTTGAACAAATAAGGAATGAGAAATTAATAATTAGAATGTGCAAAACACCGTGGCTGCAAAGAGTCTTCGAATAAATTTTGACGCTCGTAGAACTACGAGCCGCAAATTCGAAAAAGCGCGCCTTCATTGCCGTTGGCAATATTGGCAGTTATTCGCGCCATTTTAGCGGGCACTGTTGGTACTCTTGTTCCTCAGTTTGTTTACGTTTTTCCCGACGAATTTTCCGCGTGCTGAAAAAGTTTTGAAAATAGATGAAAATAGCAGTCAAGAATGGTGAATCTTACAGTAATTTCGTGGTACATATCTTTTCTTGTGCATGGTGTCCTCTTGTATTATGTTAGTTCTCGCATGATGTTTGTTCAAGCGGTCTTCGTACCTACTTAAATTGCGGCGTGTTTCCCGATTGCGTTGATGCGTTCTTGTGTAGTGCTTTTCCAAATTCTACGGTCATATTACTTGAATGTTTCTGTGTCAAAAGAAATTGGAATGTCTGTCGACTGACTTAGTCAACATGTTCATAGCAAGGGCTGGCCATCTGATTGCCGTTCATGATTTTGCAAGAATCAGTGAACCACCGTGGAATGCAAGTGACATGTAAGTACAGAAATATTTCAGTCATATGGATGCATATTTGCATTTAAGAACTGCAAAAAACGCATCGTCAGGTTTAAATTGAAGTATCTCAAAGTGAAAAATAGTCTGTCCACATTTAGCAATTATCGGTCCCAAATTTGCGACATTTCATCCCAAGTTTGGTCTCAATTTTCACATTATTTATTATGACTGTAGGTCTTGTGTAGTCACCAAAGCATATTTCTTATTCTCAAATAAGTTCCGATTTGCCCATGAATCAGATATATGGTCAGTTGTGTATGAAGTGATTTTACCTAGGAGCTGTCCGTTATCTTTGCAGCTAGCGTTTGCCTCCTTAAGCCGAGTAGATTTAGGGAGGTGCACTGGAATTGAGCTGCTATTTTGTACCATCATTTCCAAATAATACCCTCTTACATTGCAAGGCAGTATCATTCTTTCATGTGACATGGCTGAACCTGAAAAAAGGGCCTCAGACACCAGAAGCCCAATCTTTTAACTCCAAAAAATTTTTCTGTAGATTCTAGGGTTAATCTGTACAGTTAACAAATGAAGCTTTCAATCATTAGAGCAGCCACCAGCAAGTAGTAAAAATTATTAGAGATTACTAATCTTACGTTGAGACAAAAGTCAGTCCCTAATGAGCCCCGAGTTGACCCCACTCAGCAGGTTGATGCAGTGCATGTAAATGGCATTATTGATGAATGCCGATGCAAACAAGAGTATCTCTTGTTTCAACGTAAAAAACCCAAGCAAACTCGAACTGAATTCTTCAACAGATCCATCAAGAATGTTGTCACTCGTGAAGTATTGCTTCATTGATACAAATCAGTGTGATAGGAACACTTCGTTACGGAAGTTTCCGGTAGAATCCTTACGTAACCTTCAGTTTTTTTTGTCTTTTTTTGTCTGATTTATCAGCTTATGTTCCTATTTGGAACCTACAGCCATCTAGCAATTTTATTTAGTGTCCGCAGACATCATCGCTAGATTGGCACATCCATGCTCGAGGCTTTCAAATTTGTATGGATTAAGGCGGAACTTGTTACCACAGATCCACATGTCAGTTCTGTGCAAACTTGTTGCCATTACTAGGATTTGAACCCAGGACCAATTCACCCAGGGTCAGACGCGCTGACCACTATTTCAACCTGGCCGGCCTAAGCTACAGCTTTTACTCTTTAATGCCCAAATATTCCTACTTTTAACACAAATATCATCAAACAAAGCCGCATCAAGGTTAAACTGAGAAAAGGAGGATTGAAATAATGTTTCTCCTTCAAACTCGATGTTACGGACGAAGTTCAATCACTAATTTTTTTCATGTTCATAATATTCTTACTTGATTTTGAATTGCAGGAGAATATTTATGATCACTTGAATTCAAAACTACGATTAAATATTGATTGAGCTCTAAGTCAATTGGGCTCATATACCTATATTATGAGATAGCAACAAACAACATAGATTTATTCAACTCGCAGTAATTTCCGTAACTCTTTGGGTTCAGTCATATCATAGGAAGGAATGAAATTGCCATACAATGTGAGTAAGGTAATTTTTGAAAATCATGGTAAAAAATAACAGTTAACCCATGGGGCAGCTTTGGTGTGCACATCCCTAAATCTACTTGGCTTAGGGGCGCAGACAATACCCACTAGACAAACCACTGGAAAAATCGCATATGCAGGGTCTTTTAAGTATTTTTTTGCCAAACCGCCGAGTAAATCGCGTATTTTCTTTATTTTCAACGAAATGTGTCTAAAAATATTTTCCGAATCAACATTAATCAAAGCAGATACCAAGCATACAACTATTTGAACTCCAGAGTAGTGATGTGGTATCACGCAAAAATGAAGGAAAATCATAGCTTTTCACCCATCTCAAATTACTGACGATTATGAGCGTAGGTATTATTGTCGCATCGTTAAGAGCGGATATCAGGCGCGCAACTATTTGAACTCCGGAGTAGGTATGTGCTATCACGCTAAAATGAAGGAAAATCATAGCTTTTTGCCTTGTCTCTCACCGACGTATCATGCTCGCATCATTCAATGTGGAAATCAAGCGCGCAACTATTCGAACTCCTGAGTGGGTATGTTTGCCGCGATATTGGGGGGTAATGCGAATAATTTTTTATGCCATCACAAAGTCGCTGGAAAAATCATGTGCATATTTTCCGTAATGTTGAGATGATTAACGCTTAATATCTCACTTTTTTAAAAAAAAAAACCTCTGGAAGAATCGCGTTACATTTGGCACAGTACATGAGGAGAAAACCACGTTTTGCCACTCTGGAAAAATTCGTGTTTTTTTCTTTTTTTTTCTTTTCTCGTGGCAATATTGAGACGAAATTCGCGCAGTTTCTCAATTTTTACAAGCGGGAATGAAGCGAGCAACTATTCGAACTTCGGAGTGGGTATGTGGTATCAAGCGAAATTGAAGGAGAATCCTAGGTTTTCTCCCATCTCAAATTACCGCCGTTTATGATGATCATGCACGCATTGATGTAAAAATCGCGTATCATACCGCGATATTGCGGTCATTGGCGCATAATTTCTAATTTCCTGTAAAAAGTGGCTGAAAAAATACGCATTCACCTCGAAACCGAGATAAAAAGCACGGAATTTTTTTTAATTTTACCCTTCCACTGGAAATACCGCGTATTTCTCGCCATGTGTAGATGAAATTCACTTGATTTCTCACGCTTTAACAGGCAGAAATGAAGCGAGCAACTATTCGAACTCCGGAGTTGGTATGTGGTATCACGCGAATTTGAAGGAGAATCATTGGTTTTCTCCCATCTCAAATTACCGACGTTTTACGATGATCATGCGCGCATTGATGCAAAAATCGCGTATCTTCCGCGGTGTTGCGGTAAATATTTAGTGATTCTTAGATCTGAATCAACCGCTGGAAATTTAGCGAAAACGGCACGATTTTCAGTTAAATTAGGTACTGGTTGTTTTTAATAATTTTAGAAAAATTCTGGAAGAACGCGTACATACCGCGATATTGCGGTCATTGGCGCATAATTTCTATTTTCCTGTAAAAAGTGGCTGAAAAAATACGCATTCACCTCGAAACCGAGATAAAAAGCACGGAATTTTTTTTTAATTTTACCCTTCCGCTGGAAATACCGCGTATTTCTCGCCATATATAGATGAAATTCACTTGATTTCTCACTCTTTAACAGGCAGAAATGAAGCGAGCAACTATTCGAACTCCGGAGTAGGTATGTGGTATCACGCGAATTTGAAGGAGAATCATAGGTTTTCTCCCATCTCAAATTACCGACGATTTACGATGATCATGCGCGCATTGATGCAAAAATCGCGTATCTTCCGCGGTGTTGCGGTAAAGATTTAGTGATTCTTTGATCTGAATCAACCGCTGGAAATTTAGCGAAAATGCCACGATTTTCAGTTAAATTAAGTACTGGTTGTTTTTAATAATTTTAGAAGAATTCTGGAAGAACGCGTACATACCGCGATACTGCGGTATGCGATTCTGATGTTATCATCGTGTGGTCTTTCAATATATTAAGTAAAGAGAAAATTCGCGTTATTGAGATTAATAATAAGCAATTTTAATGATATTACGAATCCGCCCGAAACGTCGCACGTATTTGCCGCGATTTTGCTGTGATCATGGCGAAATTTTCAATTTTTTTACGAAATCCATGGAAGAAGTCGCACATTTTCTGCGTTACAATGATTAGAAGCGCGTAGGTGTTAAAAATATAATAAAACCCGTGGAAATATCGCGTACTACTCGCGATACTGAGATGAAATTCGTGCAATATCTCACTTAGTAACAAGCGCAACTGATGTGAGCAAGTATTCGAACTCTGGAGTAGGTATGTGGTATCACGCGAATTTGAAGGAGAATCATAGGTTTCCTCCGATCTCCAATCATCGACGTTTGTAATTACCATCCTCGCATCGATGTACAAATCGAGATTCTTCCGTGATATTGATGTGAAATTTGGTTGATCTTCTACTAATCTTTTTTTCGGTTGGTGGGGGGTGGGGGAGGGGGCGGAAGTTAGTGAGTTATCATTCTGTGCTGAAAGTTCCGTAGAAATCATGTTCTCTAAAGCTCGTCAGCAGAAAGTCAACGTTTTTTCAATTTTCCACAAACTCATCATATCTTAGTGGTGTCGAACAATCGAAAATAGGTTCCGCCACTCAAACTTATCGCACCCTCCCCCCAGAAAAATAATTTTTCTTTTATCGGAACTGCCTTTGAATCTCTCTCATCTTACTTTTTCCACTGCTGGAAAAACAAGATTCGCGGGTTCGGTTGGGGAGTTTATCTTGGACCAGATACACCTTTGAAGGTTTTTACGCCGCGGAAAAGATTTTTCCCTGGGAGCTTTCCCGCGACGAAACCGGATCGAAGGATGAGACGAAGCGCAAAAGCCTCAGGGAGCATTACTCGGAAGTTTTCTCGGAATTTTTGGCGGTCTCTCGAGCGAAGCGCAAAGTAACGGATGGATTCGAGATCTCAGCTGCATCTCACCTGACTGGCCGCCTCTCAAGTTTTAACAGGGTTGTCAAGTTTAGTAATGTTTCATTTCTTCCGAATTTCATCATTCATCATGAAAATGGGGAATTTTTGCGATTATCCAATGCAATTTTGATAATATACAGCAGAAGCCACGAGCGTAGCCAGGTTTGGAGGATTTAAAGTTACAAAATTCTGAAAATCAAGAAAAACTACTGTTTGAGATAATTTTCTATTCGTGGGCTTGTGGTAGNGGGGGGGGGGGGGGTTCCACGAGATCTAGACATCCCCTTCCTCGGCTACGACTACATTCACAAACATGGTGATTTCATTCCCATGATAGAACATCCATCAGCTATCAAAAAGGGAAGAAGCCACTTTTCTGCTCTCCGGAAAGCGCAAAAAACTGCAACTTTGTTTCTTTCTTTTTTTGGCATACTCAGTGAATTTCTTGATAAAACGCTTCAATAATAACAGTGTGTGTGAAAATAATTTCCACGATCAGGTCGTATGTCGAGGAGACCCTCAATCGTCTTGCCCGGTTAACCGGGCAAGTCGATTGAGGCCCGCCAGACGACTTTACAGTTTGGAAAGTTCATGTCGGGGGAGGCCCGACGTACGACCTGAACGTGGAAATTATTTTGTCGGGCCTGATTTCTGAAATATCTTAAAATCAGCCAGATTTAATTACGACCTGGAGGGGTGGATGAGGAAATTTTTTTGTGACTTCAAAGGGGTTAACCATCGAACAACCGGAACCGAAGGGAAAAGGAGAGGATAATTTAAATTTTTCAACCGAAGCTCCTTTCCTCATCTGAAGGATCCGCTCAGAACTGCCACCGAAAACCCCCGTAAGAGGAAACCGGGCCCGTCCCTCGAGGCAAAAACCACATCCACACACCAGTTTTCAAATGGGAGTTACGCGGTTTCAGGTTTCGAGTTTCGAGGGCCGGGTTGCGCGGACCTCGACAGCGACACACGGTCCCACGGCAATTCCCGAGCTTCGCCAACGAGATAGGAAAATTGCAAGTCTTGCATTATCCCCCCTCCCCCCTCCCGGCCGCCACTCCCGTAGCCGGCGGTGGCATTTCCCACCCCGATCCCACCCCTCACCTTATCCCTGCCGAACTTCAACCTCCCCCTCCTCGCCCCACCCGCTCCCAAGTTTCGCTTTCTCATTACGAAACTTTGCTCATTCCTGGGGGGTGGAAAATTTATCGCTGAGTCAAAGTCTCGCCCGTCGGCCCTTACGATTTTTCGTCTCGGCTCCTGTTTTTTCTTCTTCTTCTTCCTCTTTTTTTTTAAATTCTCAGGATGAGAGGTCGGCGGAGGAAGTGCTCAGTAGTTCTGGAGTTGAAGAGGACTCGTGGATTCGGAGAGGGTTCGGCGAATTCGCCCCGGTCGAGTAGGCCTCGGGGCTCCTTATTGCGATGGGAGACGGAAATAGGTCAGGGGTGCAGCGGAAATGTTCAGTTTCAGGGAATTTCGCGAGAGGTTAAAAGCACGCGCCGCCGCGCCGACTGAAAATCGACCGATTTTTCAGGTTGCCTGAAATCTCAACGGCAGAGAGTACGCAGTTACCTAATTAATAGTGCCTTAGGCCTGGAATAACTGGAATTCGTCGAGAGAAGGAAAATAGCTGGGAATTTTTCAGGAAATTGGTGTTGAAAACTGGGAATTTTTCTCTCTCTCCATTCTGATATTATGTTATTTTAAAATCGGATTATCTCCTGTGGCTCGGCTTTAAAGAAGTATTCACGAAATATAAGAACGTTTATTTCATTTTATTTTATTTTTCTGATATTAATCTGATAATAATATTATTAATAAACCTTTATCCTGATAAAAATCGACGTGTTCCAGAAGTATCCGGGGGAAAATTAGGGAAATTTCGAGTTTTTGCCCAGGAATTGTTCTTCAAAAGCGAGAAAAATCAAGGAAATATTGGAAATTGAAAGAAATCAAGAATTGTAGACTTCGAGCCTTAATTGAAAATCCGCAAACACTTAAGTATGCTTCAATTCTGTTAGGTTATTGAAACATTCTTGTTGTGTACTTAATAAGATTTCCTCGAATAGGTGTGAAATTTGTTCACGTTTTCTCTAGGATTTTAGGTGTTTCCATACACTGGAAAAAAAGCACATTGGATCTAGAGTCCAGACTCTTAAAAACATCGACAAGAAAAAATAATCTTGATTCAATCAGATTTAAGCTTAAATCAAGAACCCAGCCTTTTAATTTTAGAGGATTTCCTTTTGATTTAAGCTTAAATCTGGTTGAATCAAGAGTCCTTTTTCTTATCAATGTTTTCAAGAATCTGGACTCTAGATCCACTGTGTGTTTTTTTTTTTCAGTGTATCTTTAAGGATAGCTTTAAAATATTATTTTTTTGTCCATCTTTTTTTCTCATTTTTTGATCATCAGTATTCGATTTTTCCAAATTTCCAGATGGAGAAAAGTCTGTCATCGTCGTATCTTCCTGGAACACCCACGCAGAATAAGTTTTCCAAACGTGCAAGCAGTCGCGAAGAAAAGAAAATGCATGCTTCCCCTGTTTCACGATGAAATTCGCGTCGTCATCGACGTTGCTACGAACGGCGCAGCCGACCGTGAAATGATCCAGGTAACTCATTTTATAATGTGTGAATCACCGTATGATACTACTATAGAGTCAGATGTTTACATTCCTCAATGAATTCAGAATCAAGATCGAGCAAGATTCGGCGTGAGAATGATTTTATACACTGCCTCGACCATTTTCACACCTGAGTGGAGAGGGGACCGGACCATTCATACTTCATTGGTGGCAATCTAAAAAAAAATTAACTGCACACAACAAAAAATCGAATAAACTTAAATCGCAGAACCTACAGGGCGATAAATTTTGATTTTTGAGAAGTGGTCTGTGTCCAGGGAAATTAGTTCTCGCTGAGTCAGGGATCCCCTATTGTTGACCATCCTTCATTGTTCGGCCATGTTTTGTTCGCCCACTACTTCTCGTGGTTACTGGGTCGATGTCCTGGAAGAAGAAAGTCCCCAATCACTGTGTGGCAGAAATTCAGAATAGGCGAATCATCCATCGGGCTTTCGCCTATTCTTGTTTATTTTTTGTCGCAGGATCAGGATTCGAGATACGAGTAACAGGTGTGCGTCAATGAGGAACAACTTCGAGTCATGTATCCTCAAAATACATGTATAACTTAAAATACTTTCAAATACTACGGTTTAAAGATAGACCATACAATTTAATAGTTTATCGATGGCGTAAGTCCGCAGTCACATATCTCGTTCGCGATGTCTGAAAATCTCCGCCTCTATGTAATTATTTTGAAGGAGAACAAATTGACATTATTCCTTGAAGTTTTTGCAGAATTCTCTTCGCACAGAGAAGAAAAATCACGGCAGGTTTAAAGTATTGTCGTTGAGTAGTTTCCCGTTTAAAAAATCAAGTATGACAGGAAGTCTGCGACTTCGCAAACCGACGTACACCGTCGATGTATATTTTTAGTCTAAAATTTCGGAAAAATGTGACATTTAAGTTTGTTAGAGCTCATTGTCAGATTTCTCCTTCCGTGGACGTTAACGAGTATACATGAGTTCCATTTCAACTTTAAAGAGAAGTTTCATTCTATCGACACTGAAGCAGATCTTTTAGTAAACTTGATTCAAACTTGAACAAAATATTGTATCAAAAATCGAATTTTTAGCCGCCGAATTCGATTTACAGACGGATGCCTGGTACCCTGTGATATGAAACCTTCAATCAACAAACCACATCTCACAGCAGCTAAAAAAATGTCTATAGAATCAACGGGAGAGCCCTCCTAATATTTTCATCGTTGGATTTCTGTTTTTTACAACCAGAATTTTTGCGACGACAAGAATCCCATTGCGACAGCAAGAATTCTAGTGGTCTTTATAAAGAAATAGGACGAGCACTGGAAAAAAAAACACATTGGATCTAGAGTCCAGACTCTTGAAAACATCGACAAAAAAAGGACTCTTGATTCAATCAGATTTAAGCTTAAATCAAAAGAAAATCCACTCAAATTAAGAGGCTTGGTTCTTGATTCAACCTTAAATCTGATTGAATCAAGAGTATTTTTTCTTGTCGATGTTTTTAAGAGTCTGGTCTCTAGATCCAATGTGTTTTTTTTTTCCAGTGCGAGAAAAATATTGAAAAGACGCTCCTTTAGATACTCTGGAACATTTCTCTCCGTGACGGCCCTGTCGATCGAGGCCATTCGACAAAGGAACAACGACGATCCCCCCGAAGAAAAGTCGGAGGACTTCCCCTCGGAAATAATTGGAAAGCCCGGTCCGAGGAAACCCTGCCGCCCGTTGATTTCCGCGCAGCATTTTCCGGAATTTTCTACCCGGGGATTTTCAGGACCCCCCGCCCCGCGCCCCGCCCTCCGACTATCCCTGCCAGAATTTTCTCGTTTCCAGGAAGCCGGGCGGTTGTAATCCTCGCCGCTCCCCATTTTCGCCGATGTCGGACGGACGACGGGAGGGGCTGGGTGGGGGAGGGGGGCGCGTAAGCCCCGCCGCCGCCTACGACGTCTCGCGCGCCCTTTGCCATCGCCTTTCGAGCTTTCACCCGAAAAACTTCCCCCCCCCCGCCCGCGCTGCTGGGGCTCCTTCCCGTCGGAGGAATATGATGGAGTGACTGCGAAGGTCTTATATTTTTGAAACTTGATACTTTTTCGCGGCTCTGAACCGAGCGAGCGGGTACGCTTCGCCTTCGCGATAGGTCGAAACGAGCAGTGACGTAGCGTGATATGCGATAAATCGATAGATCTGCCCTTTAAACCTATGGAAAAGTATCGAAAATCAGGGTTTTTGCAGCGAACGCCTTATAAATCGATTCTTTGTCACAGCCTCAAACGGGGAAATATCGAAAATCGATCATTCACGTCCCGCCACTGGCGGCGCGGTGCACTCTGAATCCTCGGTCGTTAGAATTAGAGTCCTTTTATAAGGAGAGTTGAGGCAAGGCGCCTCGTAAATGTCACAAACGGCCAAAAAGATTACAAACGTTTTTCGTAATCTCTGGTAAGCTCATTCAAGAATTCCTTTCCTCTGTTCCCTCTCTCATTCTGTTTGTACCCTGACGCACCCCTACTTCCTCGGTCCATTTCAGTTTTTAATCTTTGCAGTCGGTAAAAATGTAATCTTTTTTACCAATTATGGCACTCTGGAGATTAAATTACGGCAGCCAATCAGAAATGGTTTCCCAATGTCTTAACTCTCAGTATAAGGGGACTCCATTTTGAAGAGAGTATGCTCGTTGTCAGGTCAGCCCCCAGGTATGCTTGTTTTGTAGTGTGTATGAGGGCTCGTCTAGCACTAAGCTAGTGCTCTTTATCATCATTTTGCAGATTCTATTCGGCTTGTCAGTCTTTTTGGGTGTGATGTTTTTCGCCGAAAAATTTGGGAAGGATATAACTTTTCTTTAATAGTAAAAAACTTTGAATCGGGAAACTTCATCGTCCCTACGTGACTGGTCCAGTCCAACGGTTCTCCCTCAGTGTTTCCACAGAACATATAGGCTACGCTAATATATTCAAGCGCTATATTCACTGGAAAAAAAAAACACATTGGATCTTGAGTCCAGACTCTTGAAAACATTGACAAGAAAAAGGGCTCTTGATTCAATTAGATTTAAGCTTAAACCAAAAGGAAATCCGCTCAAATTAAGAGGCTTGGTTCTTGATTTAAGCTTAAATCTGATTGAATCAAGAGTGTTTTTTCTTGTCGATGGTTTTAAGAGTCGGGACTCCAGATCCAATATGTTTTTTTTCCAGTTTTCTATAGGTGCTAGCCTAAATTGGTGTCGAAACCGTACAGATGCGTATCTCAGTTGTGGCGTTCCAAAATGTCTTCCACTATTTTACTTTTTAAGAGGAGGCTCAACCAAAACCATGGCCTGAAATTTTCGTAAAATATTTTTCATCCAGAGAAGAAAAATCACCGAAGTTACCAAGAAGTGACTTCAAGTAGTTTTCCATGTAGAGAATAAAATACGACGGAAATTCTGCAATGCCGCAAACGGAGTTACGCCTTTCTGCACTTTCACCATCGATATATTCCGCGGTGCCTCTCCTTCTCCCGTAGGTGGAAACACCGTGGAGACTCCGTCGATTTCGAGTGTTGTTCTTGCCGGCTCAACTATCGAAGGGGGTGGCTGGAGCCGTGCGTTGCGTTGTGCGTCGTGCTGCCCCGAAGGCGCGGGCGAGGGTTGCGGGAGCCGCGTGGGGGGTGGTGAGCAGGTTGGAGGGGCGGGGGACGCAGAGGGACCGGCCTGGCTGTCTCCATCAATCACTTTGCACTGCCTGCAGTCCCGCCGCCACCCCCTCCCACCCTACCACCCCCCGTCCGCCGCGGTCCCTTCGACAATGCACGCATTCCTCCAGCGCCGCGCCCCTCTCCACCCCGCCGCTACGCCCCTCGAACTGCATAGTGCAAGCGGGGTCCGGCTGCAGCGTTGTCGAGTTTCCATGTCCAGACCTGTGGGTTCATTATTAAGGCTTCGTTGGTCTTTCGTCGAAAAGCTTCGATAGACAGAAATATTACAAGAAATGGCATTGTCGATTTTGCATCGTTTAGTCAAGTCCGGATCGATCTTTCCCAAGTACCTATAGCCTGGATCGACAAAGCCCTATCTTGGATTAAGTTCGAGACCTGTGGGTTGATTATTGAGACTTCATTGGTCCTTTGTCGAAATGCTTTGATAGACAGAAATATTACAAGGCAAAATTTTGTCGATTTGCATCGTTTTAGCGAAGTCCCGGTCGATCGTTCCCAAGTATGGCCTGGATCGACAGAGCCCTATCTTAGAATGAGTTGAGTTGTCAGGTCGAGACCTGTGGGTTGATTATTGAGACTTCACTGGTCCTTTGTCGAAAGGTTTCGATGGACAGAAATATTGCAAGAAATGGCATCGTCGATTTTGCATCGTTCAGTCAAGTACAGTTCGATCGTTCCCAAGTATGCCCTTGATCGACAAAGCCCTATCTTGCAATAAGTAATGTGTCTATCGATGTCGTATGGTTCGTGAAGGCAATCTTAGGGACGCCTCATCACGCTCACTTACCAGAGTTTGAACTTTTACTCTTCGTCTGTTTCGTATTTTTCTCAAAAATTCTATTGGCCTGAGAAAATTATTGCCCCCCATAAAGACCCCTTACTCTTCATGCTACTCCTTTTTCTTCTTTTCAGGTGTTTCTGAATATCCAGCGAAAATGTGCGATTTTAGGCTTCGAAATTCAAGTAAATACTTCCTTAAATCTCCCTTCCTTCCGCAATCAAAAAAAAACATGAGTCAATTCCCTGATTGGTTTTTTGAACATGGCCCTGGAGAGGTGGAGGTTAACAGTCTTTTGGAGGAGTTTCTGTCGAACAATCGCAGTAGGATCCTGTAGGGAACAGTGACATCCTCTGGAACACCGACTGAGGTTGCGATTGATGCCCCCACGGTCGATCTTCTGGAGTCTGGACTCTTCGACCTGGGACAACCTGAGTGCTGCTGATAGATTTCGAGCCAAGCGTGCCGTTGAAGATCGTCTCAGTCTAACTTGGAACGATGGTGACATCCCCTGCAGGTCTCAGGAGTCTGTCTCC